CATTTACACCCACACAGAATTGTGTTTACAGATGAAGTGATCACGATTGTGATGCGTTCTATGTTCGAGAGTCTTCTCGTGAAACCTCAACTCGTGCCAAGGAACATTTAGGCTATATAAAAAGACCTCTTTGATAATCTTGTAGAATTGGAAAATTTACAGACAAGATCGGCAGTAGCAGTACGTGCTATGTACAATAACTATCAAACAGACACTACACATATTCACATAATTCAGAAAGGGTTCTCCAACTCTAAAGAAAAGTTAATAGCTGAGCCTTTTCAAGTAATGCTAGATCTCTCTGTCCTTAGAGAAAAGAAGGCCTTACTATTCACATAACTTGAACCGATTATACAGACAATCACATTTAAGTCAGTTCACTCGTCATACAATTAACACATGCGCACACATTCGAATTTCAAATCTGCCTCTTCACGTGACTAACTACACATTTTGTATACCTACCAGCATACATGCAAATGCAACGAATGATTTCTCACACAAAATCACCTTGACCGAAATGGCATGACATTGGCAGAATCAGACTTATTTTTAATTTTGACTTCGATTGAACCAAATACTCTTCATCGCTCCTTTAGATTACCTGAATTTATGTTAATTTACTCAGACTATTTGTTCAACCACTCTGATGAATTGACTCATACTGAGTCACGAAAAATTAAAATAAACCACTGTTGAAAGAAGGTTTTCAATAGTGTCAATTCTTTTGTTTGCATTTACTGATTTGACCAATGTATCAATTTCTTTGATCTAATTCCAGAAAAACTCCCAAAGCAAATTTACATTTTCAATCAGACGGAATTGTCCAGTTAAAAATATAATAATCTTTCATTGGAATAATTAAAACACCGACACCGAAAACAAAAACAAACAAATGTCTTCTTTGACACTATAACATATTCATAAGATTTGTGTTTTAAAGGTTACTTACTATTACTTGTCATGTGTTGTTCGAAGTAATACAATATATTTCTTACTGAGTGTAGCGGATGTGCTGTTGAAATCGTGGTAAACAATGAAAGACAAGAAGTTTCAATTCATTTTCCAAAGTTTATAGAAATTATTGATATTAAATTTAGACTAGTTAATAAGTAATCAAAGAATTATTCATAGTTTACCATAAAAGTGTTGACTCCTCCTGTAGCTCTTCTAGGGTTACTGCTCGTCCCAAGTCCGTATAAATGAGGAGAGTTGGTAATGGGATCAGCAAACTTATCCCGTAGAAAACAACCTTATTAAAAGTTGCTAGCCAGAATAAACAATTCGTGAGTGATTCATCCCACTATCCAGGAGGCACGATGCGGATGTGTGAGTCTGATTTTGCCTCCCGATAGCAGTGAAGACACCAGCAAAATCAAGTGAAGGCAGTCAGTGTAGCAGCAGTCTCTGTCTGCGGCATTAGGCATCAACGTACACAAAGGAAAAAGGAGGATCCTCAAATACAACACAGAGAACACCAACACAATCACACTTGATGGCGAAATTCTGTAAGAGGTGCAAAAGTATCACATACTTGAACAGCATCATCAATGAACAAAGAGGATCTGATGCAGGCGTAATGGCAAGGATTGGCAAGTAAGGGAAGTACTCTTACAGTTGAAGGACATATGAAACTCAAAATAACTGTTAACCAACTTCAAAGTCATAATCTTCAATATGAACGTCAACACAGTTTGACTGTACGAAGCTGAAATATGCAGAACTACTACAACCATCATCAAAGAGGCAACAGTATTTATATACAAGTGTCTACTCAAGATACTCAATGTCCGTTGACCGGATACCATCAGCAACAACCTACTGTGAGAGAGAAGAAACTAGGAAATGACATTGGAAGTGGATAGGATATTCATTGATGAAACAACCAAACTGCTTCACGAGACAAGCATTAACTTTGAATCCTGAAGGGAAACCGGAAATTGGGAGACCAAAGAACACACTGAGCCGAGAATCGGAAACAAACATGAGCAGAATGAATATCAACTGGAAGAAACTGGAAAGGATTTCATAGAACAGAGTTGGATGTAGAATGCTGTTGGTTGGCCTATGCTCCTCCACGAGCAGTAACAGGCGTAAGTAAGTAAGTAAGTAAGTAAATAAGTGATAAAAGTGGTCTTTAAATGTTAAGATTAGAAGTATAACTAATTGTTAACGAGAGGTCAACAATTTCTCAATCGATATGCTTTGAATTCACTAGTGATTGTTTTTCTCATTGTTGATGGCAAAGGGCAAATTTGATCGATCTCTGTCGACGTTTAGGTTCATTGCTCATATACTTGGACATCAACATTGGAATTCACTTATATACACCTAATAACTCCAAAACAGAACAAAATGTACTTCATGCATTCGACCATTAACAACTAATGAAAATTAGCATGAAAGTTTACCTACATCTAATATCGTATCATTTCCTCAATGAGCTAGTCGAAAGTGGTCAAATCAAGTCATGAATATACACAAGGGTAAAGAGCGAATCCTTACATATAATAACAGAAAGTAGGCAGTCCCTTTGAAATGTCTCGTCCTGCTTCGCCTACTTCTCGTTAACCATTTACTCTAGCTTCTCATTTCGATAACTCATTATTTCATAATATCTCAATAAATCTTCAGAATGCCCATGTTAATCCAGACGCAATTCCGTCTACAGTTGAGAAATTTACTGAGAAATTTGAAACTGAAATAAAACAATTATTATAACGAGATGATGTATTAAGCGAACGGTACTGGATTCAAGTCTCGAAGTGAACATCAAATCGGTGATGCAGGCACACTCAGCTGACGAGTCCCAAATAGGATAAAACGCATGTCCTGGATTCCATTGCTAGGCATCATGCATCTCTGCTTCTTATATTTGTGATATCGAGGCAATATGTACAGGTTACACGTATGCCAATAAGAAACTGATCAGTTGCAGTGCCAAACATCAATAGGAAGATTCAAACAACCAATACAAAAATAAATTATCCAGTACACCTGAATTTCACTTGTTCTCTCACTATTGATTTCAAATCCATGACCATTTGGTTGAAATTCAAGTGAATTAATCGTTATTGGTCAATATATAGGGCCTTCAACAACGTGGTTGTTCAGACATTGTTGACTTCGTGCACAATGTTAGTTATACCAAAACCCAAATATTGCATACAAACAACCAGCTTTTGTCTGGCAATAACCAATGTAAATAATTGGAGTCCTGGAATCTCAAATCTGTCGTATAATGGGAGACTGGCTAGAATAAATGAATTGCCTTTGTCATACTTGTGGGATATCAATTAGTCAAGACAATTGAGTAATTGTGAGTTGTGCGACATCCATGCACAGCACTGTACAGAATTGATTCACTAACTTCCGGTTTTTTCCAATCTTATAGTAATATGATAGTGGACTAGTGAAGATTTTGTACGCAGCCTGAGACTAGGACTTCATCACAAACTGACATCGATTGGGAATCACATTAGACTTGGATTAATTAATTACTAAATAGTTGTTTCGTCTTATTAAATCTGTCTTCCACGAGATTATGCATTAGCGTTACTGAACAGTTTCAGACTTAAATCCAACAACTACTGAATGTTCACTGGCTTCCAGTGATACATGAGATGATATCAGTCTGTAGGAACATGATGCTTGACGTTGTATATTTCTTGTTAAAAATCATCTACGCTTTCTTGAATAATTTCCACCTATTCTTTAACCCTCTCTCTCTCCCCTCTCCTCTGGAGATGTAGACAAAAATCTCGAGGCAATCATTACACCATGCTTTAAATTGTGGGACATTAGAAAAGAAATCATTAACAAGGGATTTCTTAAGTGACTACTTAGTTTTGTTGCATTTGTCTTTTTACTAGGTGATCATTCAAAGTTAATTGGGTGGCATATTTTAACTTACGTAACTACTGGTGATGATAAATCTACTCTGAGTGTTAGTCAAGAAACTTCGACATGAAATTCTAAATGGATTGTGAAAGGAGGATTTTGATTGCTAGATTAATGAAACACACATTTTAATGCATATATATGTATTATCAACTACACACCTTGTGTTTTTATTATAGTTACCATCGTACAATTGTACAAGTATCTTAAACACAATCTGAACAATAAATATACATCTGAATAGGTGCGCTTGGCAATGTATGTATACAATTTATTTTTCCTAATCATTCATTGGCCGATTCGCTAATCAACTACAAAATAAAATTAATCTGAGTGGGCGATACAAACACAAAAATCTTATTCATCATCATAATTATGATAAATATTATTCATCATTGAATTCATTTACACTTGATGTTTACTATTGTACTTGTTTCATGTGTATTAACAGTGGAACTTGAACAAATTGCTTGTAATTAATTATTAACGTGCTTTTTTTCGGTCACATGAATATCATTTATGAAACTGACCAGTTGTTGTTAAACACATGAAAACTACATTCGGATTTCATTTGTTTTCTGGATAAATAAATCACTTTTCTAATTACTTCTTAAATTTAACTGATGCATTTATGCAACTCGAATTTATTACACTTCGATATTATTTGGATTAAAGCTGAAGTACATACATTTTTACATTCACTTTACTCATCCACATTATCACAATCAATATTGTTGTCGTCTTCTTTGTCATTGCCAACGTCATCATCATCATCACCATCATTATCATCGTTTTTATCCTCGACCATATCTAAAATATTTCTCAAGCTATTTTCCTTACTCAGATCATTAGTACGGTTCAACGATATTCTCGTGACAAATTATTTACGATTTTACGTGATATGCATTAAATGTCTACTAAGACAATGTTTAACCCAATACAGAACTATTATGACAAATAAGGATGTCATTAATTACTGGTATTTCAAAAACAACCATAGAATCCAGTTGTCATCAGGACGACATACTCACTTTTATCAACATCTCTCATGGTATAGAGAGATAAAAACTGTTTCTGGTCACCTGAAATCCTCAAAAAATATGAATTATGAAACAACTATTTCTGACACTGCTCATAATGAATGTATAGATGCTGATGAATATGATTCCAGTAAACATTTCCGATGTTGTTCATATCGAACAATCAGTTCCGAAAGTCGTTCTCATCGATTTGAATTTACCATACAATATTATGCTATATTTGTGTACATATTACTCACTTTATTCAATGTACAATGTATCAGTGGTAAACCTACTTCACTATCTAACAATGGAACTTTTGCCGAAACCTCTTCATTGATTTACTCTTCCGAGTTGTCATCATCAGCAATATCGCCAAATTCATCCTTGTCTCCACCCCCACTAGTAATATCATATAATCACACAATCGAAGCATCAAGTGTGGATGATTTATTGTTACAGAATTTAGATTTATCAACTTTTCAAACATCAAGTTCTACTCATTCAAGTCGCAAAGTACCAATAACAAATGTGATTATGCGTTCACATAGATCTAGACGTAGTTTATCATTTTATATGTCTAATTTAGATACTTCACCATTGCTTTTAACTCCCTTTGCACAAACTTATCCAATGAAAGCAAGATTTTTAAGTATCGATAACAATGGAACTATTAAACTAGTTAAATCCTTTAAAGATACATCTGGTAAGTTATTGCAATGTTATAATACTATTACTGAGTTATTAGTAACGACTTGACCCTTAGTTTGATATATTAATCAGTCTCTCAATAGTATTTGTTAACTATTCAATGAACAATTTCAAATTGCTTTTTCAATGACCTCCTTTGAAATGATGTGTCTTGGACTAAACTATAAAGTTTCGTCTTCAATTTGTGCCAGTCTTCAATGTAACACAACCATCAAGCACATAAAATGTTGTCACCTCTAAGTCACAAATTTTCTGTTGGAACTAGTGAGCTCATGCAACTGCTCAAATCTGTAAGGATGTAAATAATTGTCTAGTGTTGTTGCAACTATACAGCATAGTATATATATCTGAGCATTTTCTTAACATATGTGATGCCCTCCCTGAGATTTCCTGTAATTGTGTTTTCAGCAAACCATTTCCACGGCTTAGACATGTCCAACTATTTTGCGAAATATCGTATGGTTATATGATAAAATATGTTCACAGTTCAGTGTTAACTACTTAATATCCTCATGATGAATTACCAGTTTCGTATGTACAATGTTTCCATTGCATATTAGATATATGTACTAGGTAGTGTATTTTAGGCCAGTTGTATTTTGTTTTACATTCATGAACTCTAATATGATTGTGTTTTGTTGTGACAAACGATAGACAAGGTGTAAAATAATCAATTACTATGATGTCTCTTCTTGAAGATTGTTGTCATTTATACTGTGGTGATGGATAGATAGCAGTTATGAAACAATAAAAAGTCATTGTAATATTTTTAATTAGAAAATAGTTAAATTTGTAGATCACGTAAAGCACCAATGACATTCGAGGACAGATTGTTAACAAATCCCCGACTAAACCTTAACGCATATATAATTATGAACAAATGAATAGTTTCATTTGTTTGAATTATGTATGAATCACAAGACGATTTCCCTTCTTCTCATTCATAAGAGTTGCTTTTCAAGTAAAAATTGTCTATCGCTGTACATTTATTATGTGTATATTACCTTTTGTGTGACTTTGTAGTAAATTTGACTACAAGTATCTATGAATGAATCGTAAATTACAAGACTATGCAGTTAGGGAAAATGAAAATACAAATTTTACGATAAACGTTACAGTATTCTGGGTGAATGAACAGAGTCTTTGTTGCGAAAAGAATTCACTAACTAGTTCATAGTTAAATTAATTGATACAAGTTACTTTTGTTTCGCCTAAATGTTACGTACATATTTCAAGTCTATTCTCGATATATGTTTATTCAGTAGAACTTATTCAAGTAAAATGACCATGTATTCTTGTACACAACAGTAAATTGCAGTCCAGTTGTCCATACATTTTGAAATTATGTAATTGGTACTCTGGAGTACCACGAAGTTCAGTGAGTCATATTTATGAAGTACGATTTGTCTTACAAAGAGCACAGTTCAAAGTTCATATTGGGTGCTAACTTATTAGAACATCTATCAAGTGAAGTCAGACAGTGAACCATTGAAAACAGTTTCGCTCTAGTCATGAACACTTCGACAGTGTGTTTCCATAGACCCATGTGAAGTTGAACACATGACGTTTACAACTCGATGATTAAATCTGCATTCGAATTGAAGTATAATACCACTGAACAGTAATCAGTAGATGCTAAAATAGTGGCTCAAAATCGATCACAATGGTTTCAGTGTATGCACTCTCTGTCTTCCTTTAAACTAAGAGATTAAAATCACTTCATATCTTTCTTTCTACGAACTAATTCTTTCTTCCTGTACTATCTCCTTATATGCAATCTTTCTTCTATATATTACCACCACTGTGTTAACTACTTCTATGAATCTGGTGCTCATTTGGTTGTGCTGACTGATGCGTTTTGGCAATTTGGACCGATGCATATATGTGCCTGGTCCTACGTTGCAGCTGACTGATTGACTGCTAAAATAGTGTGTACACAACCACAATCAACTCTTCCTTAGGACTAGGATGACTACACTGATGATCACTAAACGGTAACTAATATTATGTTCACATGTTCACTACAACTAATCATGTGGAAACAAATACAGTCCATCTGCATGTTGAACCACTCAGATTAGGGGTTACATCACAACTTGATCAGCAAAATCCATGAAGCACTAATAGACCAGACAAGAATGATATTTCAATAGTTGGGATCATAAGTCAATTGAAGGTAGACTACCATGGAAAACCTGGAAGCACTGGACGGCCGTTCCGTCCCAGTGTGGGACTCCTCAGCAGAGAGCATCCAAGATCCCGCCCCCCCCCCGCGATATTCGAACCCAGGACGAAACGGCCGTCCAGTGCTTCCAGCTTTTCCATGGTGTTCTAGCTTCAATTGACTTATGATCCCAACTATTGAAATTACTAAAATCTCCACAAAACCCCTTCTGATAAAAATAATATTGGTTACTACTCTCTGACAATATTCACATGAGTCTGAACATTAAACAATCAAAAAAGGTGATTTTCATTAATCCAGCCCAGTTCTAAACCTTTTTTGATCACATTTTAATCGACTGGTTTGACCTTTCTGTTATTTTTCACATTAACAAAATTGAGTGAGTGTAACAAGGTTAAAAATCCCCATAGAATATTCCAAAATGAAGAATATTTGAGCGAACAATTGTTTTCAATAACTTCATCATCAGGCTCTACAGTTATAAGTCCATAATTATAATATTTTACAAAGGCCAAAAATAAGGCATGTATTAATGAAATTTGACAATGTTATGTATTAAAAAATTGGTGCACTTTTGCATCTGTTACGATATACATATATACTTCAAAATTGTATTATTTGCAAATTAGAAAGGTCATTCAATAAAGATCAAGATGATTTGGAGTAGTGTTCAATCACAATAAGTAGAATAGTATTATAGCAAAATTGAAAATGCAAAAACAAAATCATGTGAATAAAATGCATAGTAGGAGAATTTCATCTTGTCATTTGAGATAATAATAATAATAAGATTGTTGTGTGAATATAATATGTAATAAGGGGGTAGGGGGTGTTATCAAGGTAATTACGATCAACGAATTGGGAATGATGGATGTGAAGATTAAGATAGAGATAATCAAAAATAATGATAATAAGGAAAATAAATAAAAATAGAGGAAGGGGGTAAGAGGTTTAAAATATGCAGATTAGGTACTGGGTAATCCAGTCGTAGGCCAAGGTAAACATAGAGGCTGGATATATTTTTTCTGGATACATAAATCAGGTCTTCTAGAGTTCATCCAGATGGCTTCGGCTATGTAAAGCAGTCGTAATCTAGCTCCTTGAGGTAGATATTTTGGAACTTGATATAAAATAGAGAAAGCTTCCTTTATTTTGATATGATGTTCACTATCTAGCAAGTGTGAAAGAATAGTGCTGTTAATTGATTTAGTAACTCCTTTTCCCAACCATGCCGGTACATGTTCACGAACACGCAAGGATAAAGCCCTCTGAGTACGGCCTATGTAACTAGCTCCACAGGAGCAGTTGAATTGGTATACACACATGGAGGAGCCCATCTTCGGTAACCTATCCTTGATTAGTTGTGTGAGTACTGGTTTAGTCGAGAAGATTATGTGTAACTTGGCGGCATGAAGCGTCCTTTCGACAGATCTTTTGAGTCGACGTGTTACAATATCACCCTCTATGTCCCCTTTAAATTCAAGTCTCAGATATAAGGTCTTTTCGCTGACTGTGTCACAATGTCTTCTTTTTTTATTACTTTGTACGAGGTATTTTTGACGAAATTATCAGGATAACAATTATTTCGCAATGTGTTCTTTAGTATATCTATTTCTTCATCCATACTGTTTTCAGAACATAATAACTTGATTCTGTGGTTGAGACACTTAACCAAATTTATTTTATATTGAAGAGGTGTGAAGCATTGGAAACGGGTATACTGACCCGTCCATGTACTCTTTTTAAATATATTTCGCTTTATGGAACCATCTATTCTTCTAGAAAGTAGGACATCCAGAAAAGCTATACTATTGTCTTTCTCCTCCTGGCTGATGAATTTAATGGCTGGGTGGACATTATTGAAAGCGTCTAACATCTCCTGTTTGTCGATATTTTCATCGCATATGATTAGTGTGTCATTTATGTATCGACAATAATAATCGAGCTTACTTAGGATGTCTTTAAGCGGTCCATTTTCTAGTTTGGTCAGAAAAAATACTAGCAAGGATCGGGCCTAGAGGTGATCCTATTGCTACCCCATCTACTTGTCTGAAAAATTCATTGTTAAACTTAAAGTAGATATTCATAGTGCATTTCAACAGAAGTTCTTTCATTTTACTTACTGGGATAGGTCTCTCTATTTTCTTTTCTAGCAGTTGTTCACATATGTAATCGATAGTTTCAGTCAGAGGGATGTTAGTGAACAGAGATGTTATGTCTAGTGATAGCATGGTTTTGCCATTTATATTCATATTTTTAATGGTATCAACAAATTCAAAGATGTCTTTAACACTATGCTTAGCAAGTTCTTGGTGCAATGGTTCTAATAACTTAACTAGCCATTTTGCTGTTGAATGGTATGGTGAATTTGCCATATCCAGGATCGGGCGTAAAGGAACATCAGGTTTATGAATGGCCTTTCTAATTTGCAAATAATACAATTTTGAAGTATATATGTACATCGTAACAGATGCAAAAGTGCACCAATTTTTTAATACATAACATTGTCAAATTTCATTAATACATGCCTTATTTTTGGCCTTTGTAAAATATTATAATTATGGACTTATAACTGTAGAGCCTGATGATGAAGTTATTGAAAACAATTGTTCGCTCAAATATTCTTCATTTTTGTAACAAGGTTGTTTAAAAGTCAGTAGTAGACCGAGTAAATTATCACATGCTTCCTATACTAAACATTTTGTTTCATTAATGTACTATTTCAAAAAATATAAAACAAGTAGGGATGTGAGAAGAATGCGATCATTTGAATGACTGTCAATATGAGATATGATTGTGAGTCAATTGGGAATGAATTCATTGGATCGGTGATTCTTTCTGTTCATACATGACTAACTTGGTT